CGAATTTCAAATAGGTCACGTCTGCTGTTTCCTATAGTCACGTTTTTTTACGAAGTTGTTATTAGGGACCTCAAGGCCCATACAGACGGGACGAGATTTGCAATGTTTTTCAAATATTCGGAACCACTTAAGCAATTTAAGCTATTTGGTCTGCATATCTTGTAAAATTTTTATCCGTTGACGGTTTTATTTGTTTTTTTTTAAAAAACTGAAAGTTCGCGTCGCGTTGCCGAATCGCGTCCGGCTGTGTGGGCCTTTAAGGCCGGTTTTCCACTTCAACCGTATCGTAACGTACCGTAGCATTTTCTTTTGTGTCGAAGTCATTAGTTCCACTCTAGTGGTCAGGAAACAAAGAAATACGCTTCGCTACGATACGGTTGAAGTGGAAAACCGGCTTAAGCATGTACGACGGCAACGCGACGACGACAGTCAAAACAAACTTCTTCAAATAAATTATTGCGAGAAAGAGTTGTTGTGTATTATCCACTGCATGTATGCATGAATTGAGTTCAGTTTGAAGAGATTAAAACAAAGGCTTTATGGTTAAAAACGCTTCTGCTGAGCAATTTTGTAGTTTCACTTATTGCGTCTTGACATGCATGTTTGCGTTGTATACGAGACGTGAAAATCTCTGTTTTGCGGCCGTTGTAAAAATCCCTAACTCAACGTCTCGAACTCCCGTGGGCTTTTAATTATTCATTTCTTTTGTACGAGATCAGAAATATCATTATGTGAATAGCCGTCGTCGCCGCGTTGCCGTCCTGTTTGCTCATAGTTAGTAGAAAATAAACATGGTTTGGAAGCTTGACAAAAGTCATTGTTCTATGTTTTTGTCAAAGTTTATGGAAATTTGTGCACTCGGATTCTGTATAATGAGGCTATTACCCAATAAAAAGCTTAGTTTCAATCGCTGAACCCTAATATTTGAATATTAATAAACGTAAGACAAAAGATGTGTGCACTCGGAATTACATTTCAACATCAGGTGAAGTTTGAATAGGAAATTCTTTGAAGTTTACTGGCCTTCCTAACCATGTTTATTTCTATTAACTATGGTTTGCTTAAGGTCCCTATTGTGGGTTCGGTCACGAAAAGAAACGGCCTTTGGCCACAGAATAGAGACCTTACACAAAGCCGACTTCTTGGTTTTTGTTTATGAGTTTCTTATTCGTTGGTGAGCAGATCTCCCAACGTCGGACTTTAACGTCCTTATATCCGAGAAGACTCGAAAGTCTAACACTTCACTGATGTCAATGTAAAGCCTGCCGCACACGAGACTAGAAACTTGCTAGGCTAACCGGTGGCGGCTAGCTCTGCTATATATGCATTTTGACCGCACACGTTGGGAAAACTATACTTAACAACATAATTGACATAAAATCGTTTGAATTTTCCTCCATTTTGTTCAAAGTCAGATGAAGAAATTATGGTTTCTCATTGGCTAATTGATTCAAGCAGCTCAGCACTAAGCCAACAACATTTGAATTTATTAATTGACATTCCCTAAAATGGGCTTTTCAATGACAATTTACATGGATTTTAGGAGGAATTATGAGTTATCGACTATATATATTTACAACAATGTTATCAAAGTTTTTACGCAAACTAAAATTATACGTACTATGTATTATGGTTTATGAGTTTAAAAAGTTACAAAGAAGGACATCGCTTCTCAATAATAATTGTCTTAACTTTCGTCTTAAAATTATTCAAAACACTAATTGATTTCCGCTCTGTATCTAGCCATTCCATGTCTTAGTCCCTCAGTATTTGAACGATCTTTGACCGATCGATGATGTCCTATATATTTTGGAATATCCAGGTCTCCATTTCTTCTAGTATCTTGGTTATGAATTCTGCTTCATTGTTCAAAATTATCGCATAATACTGTGGAGCTTTGTCATTCATGCATTTAAATGTTAATAACGCATCTCTGTACAATAAATGTTCTTTGATTGACAACCATCCTAACGTGTTTAATGTCGGTGATATATGATCATACTTAGGCACCCCTGTAATTAATCGGGCGGCGCAATTTTGGATTAATTGAATCTTTTTTATGTTGCCATCTGACGTATTAGACCATACTGTTGAACAATAGTTAATTTTACTCATGACTAATGTATTGATGATTGTAGCTAGTGTTGACTGATCAAAGTTGTGTTTCACAGAGGATACCTATTTACCGAGCCAAGGATTCGAGCTCGGAATCGAGCTCGGATTCGACCTCGGAATCGAGCTCGGATTCGAGCTCGGAATTCGAGCTCGGAATTCGAGCTCGGAATTCGAGCTTGGATTCTATAGTAAGGTTAAACTTGTTAAGAAAGATTTTATGCGGAATTCTTTGTTTGGCGTTAGTATATGAAGAGCAATATGGCGAAGCACAAGTTGCTTGCAATCGCTATCTAAGCAATTAAAAAGAATGGAAGCACTGTACAGAAATGTTCGTTTGCCAGAGTCAGTACGCGGGAAAGGGGGTTGAAGGTCATACTCGCAAGCTCTAGTCAGAGCCCGTTGTCGAATACAAGATAAGAATTTAAACATTTGCTTAAATCACGGAGCACTGGGATAAGGTCGAAGATTGGGGTTATTCGAATCTGGGAAAATGAATAACAGAAGGAGTAGAAAAGTCGGCGGACTAGAATAATACGTGCTGCACGCTTTTGCTGTCGAAGAATGCGAAGTAAAAGTGTTTTTGAGCAGTTCCCCCAAGTTACAGAGCATGTCAAAACATTGCATTTTAAAGCAAATTGTATGGATTTTTTTTTAAGTAAAAGACCTTTTCGGGAGACCTATACTCTGCCTTGAATTACCCAGAGGGAGGGACCGTAGACTCGTATTTTCCGAAAAGCTAACGAACAATGCCGAGCCGCCAGCGAGAATGTGAAATGAGTATACGGTTCATTCGGTGTTCATGTTACATGAAGTACGAATACTAAATCAAACAATGTTTATAAAGTTTATATGGTTTCACATGGTTTCACGACAATTTCAACAGACTATAAATTGTAAAATATGTATTTTAATGGGGATTTTACAATGAAATATGTTACAATTAACAAGGTAAGACGGCGTTTGTATTGTTTTACTAGAGTTTAGTGACTCCTCTGCTCCCTGTGCGCGTGACTTTTAAATTAACACTTGCGCGTGACTTTTAAATTAATACTTCTTTTCGAATTTGGATTGTTAATATATTCAACAAGTTTTATTCTACAATGAAGTACTATTGGATACTGTAATGTCTAAATACACAGCAAGACGAATAAGTGGCATTTATCGGGCAGAGAAGCGGCGAGCCAATGTAATTTATAATGCACCTATCAATGTTAACCCCCAGGAGGGGGGGAATCGGGCATATGTGGGGTATTTGATCATCAATTGCATCCCCACCCTGGGGATTTTGATTAGCATTTTGGCCTCGAGCTGGGGCAATTTGAACCGAATCACTTATATAATTTATTGCAAAATGGTGGGGCATTTGACCAATATTTATTGCCCGACGGTGGGGCATTTGATTGAAAATTTGCCCAAAAAATCTAATGCCCCACCTATGCCCGACCCTCTGGGGCTTAACTAAATGGCGCCATATTTCAGTATTTCACGAAAATATATCGAAGGACACAATAACGAAGATAATTACACTGCACTGTTTCAAAACCTGATGAAATCTTCTTTGAAATCTTCTTCAACCATGTTATGTAAAAGTGCAACAACTGGATGATATTTGCCAGATTTCAGTTGGTGATAAAAAGCAAACAAGATGGCAAAATATGGTATTATTTAAAGAAAACAATGATAATCCTTACGACAATCCTCATGATATTTGTTTTTAGGAAATAGGGATATTTCACTTCTGCCAGGCATATTAGTTATTTATGCATAATTAGCAATTTACCTGGGATGGTGCATGGTCATTTTCTTGTAAAATATTATACTTAGACAAATTGTTCCTTCCACTGACCACCCTAGCCTGAAATGTCAGGTTCAAGCGGGGAGAACACCTGACATTTCAGGCTACTGACCATCCCTAAAAAGCAACCCTTCTGAACACTATAACACTTGAGAAAGGCTGTCGCTTTTCCTTTTCGGAAGTTACAGCTATGTCGACACTGCTGTTTCAGGGCGGGATCATTTTCAGGAATTTTGTCCCGGATTCAGGTTTTGGCACATATGCCATGTTGACTGCCATGATCATTTTACCCTAAAACAGTTGAGATTACCTGTGCTAAGTGAAACGCATACAAACTCGTATACAGGTCCTAGACTATAATAAAACTTAGATTCCGAGCTCGAATTCCGAGCTCGAATTTTGAGCTCGAATTCCGAGCTCGAATCCTTGGCTCGGTATATAGTATATCTCTGTGAAAACACGACCAATCTAAAGCAATTTTGAGATACACGATAAGGACAATGTCAATGATTGTATATGTTTGTCGTACGTTAGATGGGAATCCAAAAGCATACCCAAATCAGTTCAAATCCTTACCTCTTACCATTTTCTCCCATAAAATTAATATGGACGGAAGATTCCAATTGATTCATGAGTTGCCGTGTACCAACCACCAACATTTTGGTCTTTTCTGGCCAATTCTGGGTTTACAAGAAGGCTGTTGTTACAACACCATTCAAAAATTCTGTGTAGAACCTCTTCTATATGCAGTAACGAGTGTTCCATATGCGACAATGAAAACGATAAAAATGTTTTCGAATCGCCAACATACGATTCAAGACTACAACTGTTGGGAACTGAAGACAAGCTATCTGTGTATATAATTATTAAATAAAAACGGCGATAGAACAGAGCCTTGACTGAGGAATTCCGTACGACAATGCAACAGGCGCCGAAGAAGTAGTTCCAATTCTAACATATTGCCATCTGTCAGGCAAGTAACTTTTAAACCACTTATCCACTGCAGAAGATTCGCCTAGGTTTAGAATTCTTTGAAGAAGCATGTTGTGATCAACACTATCGAAGGCTTTCGACATATCCAACAATATAACTATATAGATAACTGTTTATTATCCATAGCTTCCAACAACATGTCTGTCACTGCAATGTTAAGTGTTTCGGTAGAATGTTTTTTCTGGTTACCACTTTGATGCTCCGTCAATAATCTGTGGTTTGTTAGATGTTCTGTATACTGATTCAGTGCGACTTTGTCGCATATTTTTGACAAACATGACAGCACTGAAATCGGTCGATTATTTGAAGCGATTTCAGGATTCCCTTCCTTGTGTGGCGGTACCACTTCTGCTATCTTCCACATTGAAGGATATGTTGACATCATCAAGGAACAGTTGATAATATCCGTAACAGGATCTAAAATCACTTCAAGTGAATCTTTAATGAATTGAATATTTTTATCTTATCGGCACCTGGAGCTTTGTTTGATGGACTATTTAAAATAATTGTTCTAACTTCATCGGGTGTGACTGTTCTAAATTCAAACAGATCAAGAGAAGATCGGTGTCTTGCAGGTGGTAAAGCAGTTGCTATCTGAATGTTGTTAACTTCCGCGAGTCTCTTGACCTTGTCGGCTGCAATCTTCCCCACAGAAGCAAAATATTCATTAAATTCATTGGCTAAATTTTGTGGTCTTTTTGGTAAACGGGTTTTTCTGAATCTTTGCTCGGCAGACACCCCCTAACCACTTTCCACATGGTCATAGATCTTTAATTACCTTTATATTCCTCAATTTGATTCCGGACAAAGTTGGACCCTGCTGCTCTTAAGGTTACAGGACACCCTTTTTGGCGTTTTGCGAAAAATCGCTACTGCGTGCTCAATATCAGTCCGATTTTCATCAAATTTTCACCAAATGTTCGCCAGTGCATGCAAAATATGGTAAAGTTGTAAAATTAACAAACAATAAAATAAGTTATAGTTATATTTATGAAAATATCATTTTTATACAGTAAAATAGTTGTTCTAAAAAATTGTGTTCGGAAATTTTTGTTTATTTCGTCATTCCGCTGATATGGCGATTTCTTTGACGACTGCAATATATTTCTAAATTGTTTGAGTCAATTGCTCTTTATTATTAAAATATCCAAAATTAAGAAAAAGCCGAATACAATTTTGAAACTGACGTATTTAGCTATGTCCTGTGAAAATTTGAGAAAAATTGGTTAAAACCCGCAGGAGCACAACTCGTTTGAAAATCAGTAATTACCGTAAAATTTTTCGGGAGAAAATTGAATTTGAATATTACATTTTCAATGTTTTTCTTATTGCAGCGAAATGTATTTTACTAAATAACTCTGCGAGTTTTCAACATTTTTCGTTCAAACTTGGTCAGATAGTAGAACTAGTCTAAAGCTTTCATTGAAACCAATAAAAAATTTTTAGGGAAAATTAACACTCAAAGGCCCGTTTCATACGCCGTACTTCACATGTGCCGAATACATTAAAAACAATAGCTCATGAGGCATTTCAGCTCATTACCTATTGTTTTTAATGTATTCGGCACATGTGAAGTACGGCGTATGAAACGGGCCAAAGGTGTTCTGTAACCTTAAAGATGTTTTTATAGAATTCCTAAGCTGCCTATAGACATCCCAATCTTCCGCGTTACGTCAGAGGCGAAAAATTCTCAGCTTTTTGTCTCTCAGTTTCATCGTGCACTTTAATTCTTTATTAATAAACTGGTTAAGTCTGCCTTTATATCCAAAATAAGTGATGTTCAGGGGGTGAATGACTCTCGTAAGCGCACTGGCGGCTATGACGAACATGGCGAGTGCATTTTGATGACGAATCATTGTGCATCGAGTCGGCCTTCTGTAAGGTCTATATTCTGTCCTCTGGGCCACGTGCATGTTCGCAAGTCACGCTTCAGGGAGTCTTTCCTCGCAGCGATCAAAGGCTTGGCAGGAAATTGGTAAAATTTACTTGATATATATTTTGCATGCTGACAGAACGAAGAAAATAGTTGTCCCGGACTTGTAGCGTTGACACATCAGCGTCAAAAAGCAAATATTATTGCCCCCAGAACGACAAAGTTTTTTTTATGAAGGTCGCTTAGACTTTATTGAATTTACAGTGCATGGTTCGCATTTTACAAGAGCCTTTAGAACATGTTTACCCAAAACACAAGTTGCACGAACTCGTTCCTGATAGACGTGAGAACTTAGTCAATTATACTCTTCGTAATAATAATCATGTCAATTTAATTGCGTGTAAAAGTTTAATAGATTTCGAAGCTCATTTTTACTTCAGGTATCTTAACTCATGAATTATTCATTATCTTAATATTTAGACATTTTAGCGATATTTAGAATTCGCATGGCAGTATTAACATATGGTATTACGTATAGTTTTAAAATTTTTATGCAGGATATGTTATTAACAGTCCTTTTTGCTATATTTTAAAATATTGAATGTTTTCGATTCTGTATATTTCACCTTTTAGCTGCTACACAGATTAACATTTCATTGAATTTAAAATTCATATTAAATTTAACATGTACAGTACAAATAACAAGTGGCCTATAATTACTGAATATCATTCATCTGACAATTGATTAATGAGTATCTGTCAGAAAGTGACCTATAGTCTATACAAGTTTCTTTTCTCGTAGTTTGGCAGCCATCATTTTGGCAACACTCTCTTACACGTTGGCGCTCAACAGTCGACCACAATTGACCATAAAAGCAGTAAAAAACAAAAGGTTTGACGACTCATATATCGGGGAAACATTCGACACTGGAAACATAGCAGATTGTCTGGAGCACTGTTTAGAGGACTGTCGGTGTCAGTCGTTTCAAATTTGTGGAGGGACAAAATGTCAGCTGTGTTCAAATCACAAGGAAGAGAACAGCTCATTGCTTCATGACAATGATACCTGTATCTATGCTATGTACGAGATGCGAAATGCTCAGGTATGATAACGTTTTTAAGATTCGTCATAACTTTTCCATGCAATTTTCTGTCTCACATCGTTACGTCTTAAATTCGCTCTTGTTAATGTTTGATTGAAAAGATAGAGCCAACAGTATTACTTTATTTGAATTCCATGCACGATAATCTTGGTCCTGTCCAGCCTGTGAGCATAGCTCGCTCTTTGCCCAATCCTCGGTGTAAATACAGTTTTGAATTCCACATCGATATCATCATTCCAATTCTCCGATCCGAGTTTGCCTCATCGATTTTCGGGCCAGTCAGTGTACATAGAAATCGTTCAATGGCCAGCCCTCATTCTACTCTACCAATGCAAGACGATCTCACTTGGGTGTAAAATACAATGCCTTTTATCTTCTTAGATATTCGACGACCACTGTTCAACCATACATTGTCCAAAGAAGCACAATTGTTGTCAACAACAATCTGATCTCTGTCCCGAGAACACAATATGTAAACCATTCAACTCCCCCCAGAAGCCCTGGAAACGTTTTATCTGCGAATGTGGAGCTGGTGAAAGCTGTGCCAAGCAACCATCCCGGAGGAGGGGCTCGAGGAGGAGCTGGTGGCGGCGCAGGCGGCGGGGCTGAGAAGGGGGTTCGAACACGTCCCCGACCAGTAATTTCCATTTGTATAAGCAAAACACACAAAAGAACTAGAAAAGTGCGAAAGCAATTTAGATTTATTTAGATTTATTCTTGAGCCCCCCAACTCAATTGATTTACTTCCGACGGCGTTGCGGACTCAAACCGCCATTATGGTTGCCAAGCGTTTCTATAACTCTATAGGAACACGGAAAAAATGTTTTCTATTTCCTTTATTAAATATCCTTTTAAAAACTTACACGTCATCTTACACGTTCGTGTAAAGATTAATTAAGCATAGCCGCGATGCTATTTGGCAAATATAAAACAAGTATACCACTGTTAAAGCGCTTTATAACAGGGTCACAACACAATAACAACATGCTTGCAAAGAAAGTACTGTTTTAAATAGTTAGCAGTATGATTAACAATTATTCGCCGAAGGCGAGTTGATTTTCAGTGAATAAAAACTGAGATAAAGTCGAGGTTTTTATTCACGATAATCACCGAGCCTGAGGTCAATAATTGTTTTAGTATAATTTCATAGGTGATTATTTGGAAAAAAGTAATAAATACACATTTCTTCGGCATTTAATTGACAAAACTGCTTCGGCCGCCATTTTGAAAATCGCGTAGGTGATTATCGCGTTATACAGAGGCGTTATAATTACCTCAACGGCAACCAATCAGCGTGGAAAATTTTCAATAATTACCTATGTAATTATACTAAACATGATTAGAAACGATTAAAACGATAGTAAACATGAAAAAGTCAAAGTAAAATTAAAATATCTTATACCTTGGTATTATAAAAGTAACAGATACAACGTATGCTGTTATATTGTACTTTGTATTTTGTGCTTGGGCCGTTAAATTCTTCGGATCGGCGTTTTCGCACGTTTTCCAACTTTTTTTTAATATTAAATATTGTTTGTATTTTGTCCGTTTAATTTAAACTCTCGCGCAATCCACTCAACCCACGCGAAGATTTCCCTGTTTCTATCGAGTTTTACTAGTATAAATTTTCAGGTCACTATTGATTTTTCTCCATTCTGATTGGTCAAGATTCACTGTCTCTGAAGTGATAGTCACTGGTCAGTGTAGTATAGCTTTTTTTCAAAATGGCTGCTCGTTTTGCCGTAGTAACAGAGGAGGAAATTGCCAAAATTAAAGAAGATAGCATTCCGTAAAAACCCAAACAAGCTACAAAATATGGTTTAAAATTATTTCAAGGTAAAATATTAAACTTTACGTGCTAGCTTTTATTTGGAAAAAAACTGGCTTAGTCGCAACGCGACACAGAGCCGTGTCTGAGATTTAAATTTTGTAAACAAACTATTTATCCCCGAGCCGACGGCGCGAAGCGCCGTGCGAGGGTACTAATTCCCCCCGGCTATTTACACCGGGGAAGCGAAAGCATTAGCGGAGTCGAAAGTTCATCAAATATCGCGGGCGTGGGTCACTGTGCGTGGGTGGTCATCCTCACTGATCTCAAAAATATGGCGGACTGTCATGAATAGCGGACACTGATTGGTCCAATTTAAAGTTTGCATTATAACGACTGCATGACGACAGCGAAATAGCAAACATTTCTTGACTTGATGATTGATAAATTTCTTGCAAATATATCTCATTTTTGCTCACATTTTTGCAAGATTTTGTAAATTTCAAGAAAGAAAGGGCGAAAGAATCGGCTAAAAGAAGGGAGCCGACGTTAACAAAGATAAGTTTGTTTTAAATATTGATTTTATAATTGTTTTACAACCTGACGACCTTTGCGTATGTGAAACAACTAAACAAGAT